GTTCTTGGGCTCACTTACCCGACGAATGGGGGAAGGGCCTGGCAGCGTGGTGAGCTTACCGTCCAAGTAAATATCAGACTCAAAGTGTTTAGCAGAAAGAGCGAGAGAAAGAAAGAGACAGAGCTCCCACATAGCTCTGGAAGGGGAATCCAAATGGGATATCCATATAGGAAGAGAGGGAGAGACAGTTCTTACCTTGCCATGGTAGGGGATCCCAGAGAGGGAAATCCTATAGGTAAGGGAGCTGGGGGATTTTAACAATGTTGTTATTCCCTCCTCATTCCTGTTCTTGTCCAATGAGAGGAGGACTTTCAAACTTCCTGTGGAGTATTGATCTTGGACTCTGATCCTGGATTGGTTACTTGGGCCCACAACAGAGCCCCTCCTCCCAGGGCTTTTGAGGGGCTTTCTGAACAAAAGAAGTTCACCTCGAATTTCTATCAAGCCTGTGCATGGGAAAGGTAAAGAACATTACCTTTGAAACCCCTCTGGTCCCTGGATGTGGGCATGGATGGAAGTGTGGCGCTGGGAAATTCCGGCTTTTGAAACACAGTCAACTTTCCTTAACACAGTCCCTCATAAGTATACAATAAAGTAAAGTATTTACTATTATTATGATTAGTGCTATTATGACTATTAGTGGTGGTGGCATTAGTTGCAGTCATGGCAGGGTAATAATAGTAATGGTGAGAGGTGTATACAGGAGATGAGCCTAACTGTAAGAAGAATTTTAAAAACCATGCACATCCAAGTGTGGACTTCAAGGATGTTTTGAACTTTCTGAACATTCATCTTCAAGATAAGGCCTGGAATACGTTGAAGCTTCCTGAACAATGAAGAAAAAAGAGCAGCTGAGAAAAGAAACTTCAATACCAAAGTTCTGCTGTTGCTGCATTATTGGTATACAGATCACACCATAAAACAAGATTTCAAGCATCCTAGATTCCATCCCTGCTCCATATTTTATTGCTACAAATACCATAGGTAGATCCCTTTCCTTTATCTTTTTACTAAAAAAAAAAATTACATACTTATGCAATCACGAAGTGATAGCAAAATCAGGCACTATGTAAGAGTGTGATTTTGATAATGGGTTTCGGGAAAAACCTAAGTAAGCAGAGAAAGAAAGGAGATCTCAGAGAGATGACACATACTTAAAAAAAAAAATGAAGAAGAACTATGGATTCAATGGCAGGGCCTAAAGAAAAGAAGAATAGCTGGCATGGGATCACAGAGAGAAAGACTTAATTGTAGAGATCAGAGCAAAACTAGGATATTGGAAAAAACATATTTTAGTAGTCATACTGGTTTTGCTAATTAAAAGTCTGGGTATTAAGGTCAGGAACAAGCATAACTATGACACACAGCATAAGTTTAAAGCAAAGTTTATCTGGAAAAAAAAGTAACAGAGAAAATCAATATAATGCTTTTAGTTCCTTAGTTACTTTCTCCATCTCACAGAAAGGAGTGCTTGGGCTAAGTACACAGAAAATGCTCTTGAAGAGAATCTCTACTCCAGGAGAGAGCAGAAGGTACCAAATTCTTTGATCTGTCTGATTGAGATAAGGGCATCAGGACAAAATGAACATTCTTCCCTCTGATTTTGTCCTCTGAAGGAATCCATTTGCCAGTCATAAAAGACAAGTAGAATCTGAATAGCCTTTCACACTAATCCCATCTAGTTCTACTGAGTCAATTCGTTGTTAATCCATCTTGAGGCATGGAATGGAGAAAACCCATATGGTTGCTCAGAAGAAAAACAATTTTTTTTTCTCTACTTAATAGGGTGTGGCCATAAGGTTGCAAACTGGAATGGAGAAGAAGAAATGATTATTGGGAATGCGAAAGTGAAGGCAAGGAAGCGGTTGGGTGTGTCATTGAAGATCATGTAAGTGGCTGCTAAGCTTCTAAAGAATGAGGACAGTCAGAATTTTAAAACAAAATAATAAAACGTAATAAAAATAATAAGAGGCTAACACAGGTATTCAGTTTCAATGAATGAAAAGGAGTAACAGTTTGGTCTTTAAATGATTTTGCCAAGTAGGGTTAAACAAGAAATAAGCTGATGGAAAGCATGGAGAAAAGAGGGAAGAAAAGTGCCTCAGCAACGGCGAGACGGAAGATCATCTATTCCAACTCTGGGCCCTGTTGTACGTGGCTCTGAGAGTAGTATCATTTTTCTTTTGAGAAATCAAAAATAAAAAAGAATCTTTAGACAAGAGCCAGCTTTGAGTTAGAGCAGAGAGCTGAAGAGAATCTTCAAAGAAAAGTTTAAGGCGTCAAAGGGTTTTGTAGTGTCACACTGAGAGCCACCAATGGGGATAATTGGACTGAATGTATTTCAGTAAGATCCTAGGATATTTCAGGCCACAGAGTAATTAGAATTATGGTCATGGTAGATGATTGGAGAAGCTTACACTTCTGAGAAAACCTGATAAAAGATAAAATGTAAACAATGATGATACCATCATCATTGGCTTGCTAGAGAAAAGAAGGGAATTTATCATTTTTGTTTGGTTCTTAAGTATAGTGTAATCTTCATGTCGTAGGAGCAAGTCCTTGGTGCTGACGACTGGAAAGGGATATTTATAGTAGTGACATGCAATAGCTATTGAGCAAAGTATTTCAGTTTTAGTTAGAAAGGTATGAATGTGTGTTACCAAGAGCAGAGGGTGGTCTTAAATTCCAGGGCGTTCCTATGAGTGGTATCATAGCACGGGGAGCTTCTGTCTCAAGATATTCCTAGTGTAATACCATAAATATGTCTTTATGGGACTGTCTGAAGACTGAAGAACTAATTGTAAGCTTAAAAACTCACTTGACTATAAAGTTCATTTTCTATTTCAGTACAAGATAAACTGGTATTGTGTCTATTTGTTTAGTTTTTCTTTCTCAACAATTTGCAAAATTATCATTATACTATAGAATATATTTATAATCATAAAATGCAAAAAAATGAAGTTTTATATTTGGGAGAGATCTATCCATCTTTCTGAAAAACATTAAATAGATGGAGTCCTTAAGTATGAGAATGCATTATGTTCAAAGAAGAGGAAAAGAAAAATATCCATATAATTTTTTTTCACTACAAGGTAGTACATTCAGTATACCAAATAATTAAGAAAAAGTGAATTCAGGCTAATCTTGGATATTTCACATAATATTTTACATTTACTGTTAATAATTTTTTATGTTTAAATACACAAAAGGAGGGCATAGAGTCTGCTACTATAATGACTAATAGTTTTGTACAAACATGTTTGCTAAATATTCATATATATTACTGCAATGATGAAAAGTTGCTTTCATGAGATAGAGAATGCTACTCACATTTGAAAATTTACAAGTAGCTATACACATGATATAAAAGAATTTTGAGTATTCCAAGGTTTAAGTCCTTTGTTTTCAAATGCTATTTCCATACCAAATGAAAAAGGTAGAAGACCTTTCACTTGGCAACCTCTTTTTTTTCCTCCTTTTTTCAGAGTAGTAAAAATAACTTCAAATCAGGATTTAGACTGCTTTGTTGAATTGTGGATTTCACACAAAACAGTCTTTTCCCACAGATGGATTTCAGTGGGAAATAAAATGTATGCAACATTAGTGATTTAAAGCTTTTATTTGTGAATGTTTACCTTAAACTATGATAAAATATTTTGTTTGGTTCCTTTTTCCCACTTTACATACATTACTTTATCTCAGTATTAAGAAAGAGGCTTCTATAATATGTAGTTTTATTTAAAGGAGAAAGTAGACCTAGAAGACATAAGTCTAAGGGAGCCTGTGAATTTTAAATTAAGTTTCTTTGCCTCAAGAAAACAGTCTTAGCCTCCATGAAGAATTCACCAAGCTGTCTTAACCACTTGAAATCTATCTAGCCCTGGGAATATGCATCAGGCTTAAATTCTTCCTTCTTTTTCTTTATTTATGGATGAACAAAACAAAGTTCTCTTTTTTGCCCACCTCCTACACTTCAAACACAGAAGTATTTAAAAGCCATTCACTCCATGTTCAATCACCACACTGTAGTAGTGTCACATTTTATTTGGGGATATGTAAAATTGTATTTTTTTAAACATTTGTTTTCCTTTTCAAGAAATGAATTTTCATAAAGCACAAGTCTCAGATAGGTACCTCTATTATCTATACTTCATAGGTAAGCTTTAACACTGGGGGAAAAAAGAAGTGGAATTGTTTTTTCCATTGTCATTTTTCCTTTGAAGCATTAAATAGGGTATTGATATTTTTTCGCACTTAAGCTATTTACTTTCTGTGACTTAACGAGCCGTTATAAAGTCAGCCATATTCCCACCGTGCATTTCATACAACTATTACTAGAACTTCTTTTCAGAAGGATTTATCTACTAATCAATAGCTTTCTTATTGTGCCATTTCCAGAAGTACTAAAGAGACTTCTCTCTGAAGCAGCGTTTGACTCTTGCTTTGGTTTACCCTCTCTAAGAGTTGTGCAGTGTACAACAGGGATTCTAACAGGTGGATCATGTAGTTTTTGTGATGTGGCTGTGGTCACCATTATTTCTGGTTATTTCCAGGGAAGATGAAACTCATTCAATTGCATTGTCAAGTAAAAAGCAGAGTCATTCTAGAAATATAAAATTATACTTGATAAGATCATTATCTTTACTGAAAACAAATATGTCAATCATTAATGTTTAGATGTTTAACAATGTTTCTAAAGGATAATTTAAGATTATAAACTCATAAAGGAACAGAGAAAAAAGTCATCGTTATCAATGATAAATATTATCTGAATTTTTTCTTTTCTTATTCTTAAACTTGACACTTTGACACTGAATTGAAATAGGTAGTAGTACATTCTGCAGAAACCATACACAAAATTCCTTTTGAGCAACAGCACTCTCCCTGTGATATATGTTTTCTACAGATAATTTACAGGTTGCAGACATGCTGTGACCTCTCTCCCAATTGCAAACAGATTAAGGAGATCTGATTAACCGGGACTAAAAACACGGAGTTGTTTTCTCTTATGTGGGGTCTTTGACAAAGCCCTCCTGTCTGAGTCCTCCCACTTCATTCGCTTTCAAATCACTGTGCCCAAAGAGGTCTTCACTCCCCCAAGCCCAAACCTGGAGCCCTGCAGCGCCATCAGCGGCAGTATCTTCCTATTTGAGGGACGTCTCTTATTAATCAGAAACGCTGAATGGAAACCAATCAGATAGAGAGTTCCTTTGGCTTCAGCTTCCTGCCTGTCTGAGTTAAAAGTGATGCTCGAAGAGAAAGCCACACTGAGATGCATGAAGATTCAGCTGTGAAGATACTATAAAAAGAGAAGAGAAGGACCGAGACAGAAGCAACAACGGAATTGTCAGTGCTGAGTAGTGCTAAACTCCGTTCCATTGTTAAGCAAGGTAAGTGTTATTTACTTTGCTTGACAATGTATGCTCTTCGGTTTTTGCTTTCTTATAATGAAGTAGTACAAATATTGCTTTTCTTCTAGTTGCTATATTTTGCTCTCTCTCTCTCTCTCTCCCTCTCAACATTTGGAAGCACGTAAGAATACATTTTATAGTATTTGAATAAAATGTTTATATGCTCAGTGAGAAAACTTGCAACATTTGCTTCTTATTTTACTTTTACAAAGCTGATACCTACTCAAGCTCTTTATATAGTGCTCAAATTTGCATTTGGAATATTGTTGTAAAAATAAAACTAAACTTAAAATTGTATCAGTTAATTGTGGTGGCTTTCAATTACATATTTGTGTGTTCATGTATATGAATATTATATTAATTTGAAATGAACGCTGGTCTCATAACTTTTGTTTAAATTATTTGAGTCAAAACTGTCAAAAATAAGGGCATTTTTATTCATAATTAAATAAGAAATGCTTTCTTTATTTTCAATATTCTAAATGAAATAAAATATGAATAGAAAAATGCCACAGTTGCATATTGGATGTCAGGGTTAAGGTGATCACTTTACCTGGGAAGAGAGCTTTCTTCACAGATTTGTGGCTCTCACTCAGGTCAGCACTCTGAATGTATACGTCTGTTAGCTATGATTGCTTTCCATTACTGTAGGCAAATGTGTCTTAATATAATGAAGACTAGATGAAAGCCACAGGAGAGGGACAGTGTTTCTAAGCCAAAATTGGCATTTACAAAATTTTAAGTGATATGGGAAATGCATTGATTTGGTGGAACATTGTTTTATTGTGTTTTCCATCGCATGCTCAAGATCACCATTCACATCAAATAAATTTTTGCAAGCATTCTCATCTCAAAAAAGCCTTGATTTTAGCTATAAGGTCATCAAAATTTTTTAGTATTGACAGTTAGAAACTGTTACCAGGGTGAAATTCTCATAATCTGGTTTAAATAATAACAGTGTAATAAAAGGAAAGTTATTAACTGTAGTAAATAAGTTTACATTTATTTGTGTCATCAACTTTTGATGAGAATGCAATGAACTTCAGATTTGAGGAGAAATTGGTGGTTTATCGGGGAGATGTGTTGTCATTTTATATTTTATGTTATAGATATATGAAATTTCTAATAATCTTTTCACAAGCTTTCTAAAATTTTTGTAGCATGGAGAATGAATGATTTTGTAAATCAGAAAAAGTGGTAACTTTTGCAAACAGTAGGGAATCTTCCTTTGGCTCCCTTTGCTTTATCTATGAATTTAGAAGAGTTACCCATCTTTAGTCACAGTTGTTTAAGATGAATTTGATTATTCAAGGTTCTCAGTTTTGTAAAAAACCTCCTCCTACATTCTATAGAAGATGTATCCTATATTTCAGATTCAGACACTACATCATTGCCTAGGCAATGCTATGTCAATTATGAGATACATTTTTGCAACTATAAAACTGGCTAATCCAGGTTTGAAACAGATCTTTTGAAAGATAAGGAAGATGAAATAACATGCTATTACAGCACATAGCACCAAAGAACTTGAACGTAACATAAATAGCATGTGTTTGTAGTCTTGTCACCAAACATATTATGGGTTCAACTAAAGTTTTTTCAAATGAAGAGTATGTAAATAATTATATGCATTTAATAGATATATGCTGAAATGTTGAAATACCATCATTCCTACATGTGTTTTGAAAAATGAAAAAAATGTAAAATAGGTTTGATATAAAATAAATTATGAGAAAATTTAATTCTGGAAATAAAAAAATACTTTAGAGAAAGCCTAGAATAGGATGAATTTAAGAGTAATTCACTAAATTTAAGTCAGATAGATTTGATAGTACTAATAAAAACAATAGTCTTGTGAGGTAATTTTTTCTGGAATAAAAAATATTTTTTTATTACAGTATTTGATAGTTTTAAAAACATTTGACATGGTTTATATAATTATGCTACTCATCTTGCATTCATTGCATAATGGAAATAAAAATGTCTTATACCACTGCCTGTCTTTAAAAAGATCACAATATCAAAACGGATCTTGAAATTGCTCTTTTAAAGGTTGTGTTGCTCAACTTGATAAATCATGTGTTGAATCAGAAGCTCATCTGAACGTCACCTGGCAGGGAGGGATTTCTTCTGGTGTTTTCCTGTAACTCCTATACATGCCAAGCTTAGCCAATGCAGTGTCCCTTTCAGGGTACATTCACCAAGTAAGATTTTTTAAGTAAAGTTAATTAGATTTTTTTAAAATTTTACTGGAGTAGGTCTATTTAGGTATCAATAGTGATATCAAGCAGACACTCCTTTCTCACAATATTTCTACAGTGTATGGGTGTAGTTAATAAGAATGCTTTAAAGAGTGGCTACCAATTATGTAATATAGGATATGCAATTCATGTGGCAACATATAGTATGCAAGAAAGTATAAATTAAGATGAAAGTTAATTTAAAAAATATGTGTGAATGTGTCATGAATAAACATTGGCTGTAACTTGTTCTCTATGAAAAGTAAACAGCCTAGATAGATAATTATTCAACATTAATGCAGATGCTTCACTATAACTTATCATTACTTTGCCACATTCTTTAAGACTAATTTGTTCACTCCAAGGCACATTTAAATATGATGTGCAAATAATCTTGGATTAGAAAAAAAATGATATCCTAAAAAGTGCTCAGTATAACACTTTTGACTTCAAGGACACATACACATGTACACACACAAGTCAATAGCAATATTAACACAGTAATTTTGGTTCATAGGGAGATTTTTGGTAACAAAAACTCTAGTTAGTTTCTTGGGTATTTTACCTTGAAAATGATCTGCTTGAATTTTCTTAAGGAAGAAGAAAGCATGCTAAACAGGATCAAAAGGACATTGATTCAAAAGGACATTGATTTAAAATGAGCCTTGTTTGTTTCTACCTAATGCTAAATTTATAAAGATGATCATTTTTATTGTAGAACATAAAACATGTTTCCTAAGATAAAGCAATTTCTTTCTCTGTATCTTGTATATTTGTTTTCAGAAACAGTTGTCTTTTTAAAGATATTTCAAATAGCTGTCAAGACCCGTGACATTATCTTCTTTAGGTCTTTGTAAGTCGTGAACCTCAAATTAGAAATATAGAAAAATACATAAAGATAGATGATAGACAGACAGATAGATAGATAGATAGATAGATACATAGACAGATGATGGATTGACAGAGAAATACATAGATAGAAAGATAGATAGATAGATAGATAGATAGATGATAGATAGATAGATGATAGATATAGCTTATTGAAAACAATTCTGTATTGTTATAAATAATTTAAAAAGTTTCTTTTATTTCTCTTATGAGTCATTTCAATTTTTCTGCCTGGAAGTACCATTATCTTCATTATTAAAATATGGTAAGGAATATACAGTGAGGAAAATGTCTTTATAGCACTCTTATACATTTCCATAATAGCCTTAACATGTTAATGCACTTATTCCTAAATTTAGCACTAGTAAGGTATGGTCTTCTAGCTGCAGTATAAATGCAAAGTGCCTGAAAAAAAGCAGGATCTCTGGAGCCTGACCAAGAGATTTCATATTAACACTTCCAAGAAACACAACATAAAAGTCATTATAATGGATCCCATTGGCTACGAAGGGAAAGTGGAAACATCATGGGGTGTTGTGGCCAGATGTGAGATTATGTGGCCATCATGGGGTGATGTGGCTCTGTGTGAGAGTGTGTGTGTGTGTATGTGTGTGTGTGTGTGAGAGAGAGAGAGAGAGAGACAGAAAGAGAGATGTATTATTTATTTATTTATATTTTAGGAAGAGAAGTTAAAAAAAAAGAAAGAATAGAGCTGAATATTTTCTTAAATTTACATTCAAACTCTTTTTCCCCATCCTATTAATTAAGCAAATTATAAACCAATTGCAGGAGAAATAAGTATTCTTCTATAGCTTCTATTTCTCTTGATGAGAAAGATAATCTTTAGTATCTAATTGATGGATGAAACACCAGAGCATCTGATTGTTTTTTAAATATGGATTAAAAACCCAGCCTCTCATATCAGATTTTGAATTTGGCTTTACAATTCTGAAGAGCATGGATGACTTCTTTTTAATTTCTACTCCAAATATTAATTCAGTTTGCAAGGAAAATAGTAGTAACTAATAGTTATCATTTAAATTTCAATATAAAAGATTGAACGTGTTCATTAATGTGTTGGATATTGGAAAAACATATATCTAATAGAATTTGTATTAGAATATGCTGCACTTGACTTACTTTATACATTATTAATACGGTTTCCAAAGCATAATAGACTCTTTCCTCATATTTTGTAAAATAGGCTCTTTGGAAAGTCATACAAAAAAATGATATACACAGGAAGCTGTATAATAGGGGAGACAACAAATAATGCATATAATAAAGTGTAATCCAGGCAAATGAGCAACAGTAATTCACTTTCAGGGTCAAAAGACATGATATAAAATATACTGCTTTTATAAAATTGGGCAATCAGTCTTAAAAGTTTTCTAAGGGAGTTTTCACTAGTCAACTAACTCTAAAATGTATTTGTTTTTTTCTACCAAAGCAGTTTACTGTAGTAATAGTACATAATTTCTAGAAATGTTTTAAAATGTTCATGTGCATGTTATAAATACTCCATAGAGTAAGGAACACATAAGAAATTTATTTTTTTAAATTTTAAAGATAATTAAGTCATAGAGGAAATGTAACGATTTCCTGTTACGGAAAACTTAACAGCTTAAGAAAACTTAACAGAAATTAAGAGAAAACTTAGTTCAAATTCCAGAGTAACAACTATCTATCTATCTGTCTATTTATCTATAACTTTATATTGTTATCTGTATATCTACATATATCTGTGTCTTCATTCATATTTCTGTATATCTGTATCTGTAGCTGTGTCTGAGTGTTTGTGTGTGTGTGCATCCAGAATACATATGGAAAACAGAAAGAAAGCGCAACCAA